TTCTTCACTGGATTAAGTCAGAATCTTGCCATTACAAAGTTTTCGTTGGTACACGTGTGGCAGAGATCCAGAGTCTTACTAACGTGAGCAACTGGAGGTATGTGGGAACAAGGAGAACCCACATTCTCCGTTTTAATATGTGCAATTGTAGTCACACGAACATCAAGCTGCTTGGAGATGGTCTTATAGCCTTTACCTGTAACATGCTTGTCTATAATTTTCTTTCTAATCTCCTGAGAAAACTCTGTCCTTCCTCTGGTCCATGTTTAGTGTGGTACACACCATGTCACCAAACAGCACAGTGACTACTTGTAACCCTATAAATAGGCCGACTGACTGATTACAAGTTTGTAGACACCTGTGATGCTAATTAGAGGACACACCTTGATTGAACATGTCCCTATGGTCACATTATTTCAGGCCTATTTCATGAGTTTATTTTTTTAAAAATAATTCTGTTGACCCACGGTTCAAAAGCAATGTCTGATTTTCATTGGTTAATTTTTATTGAAATTTTATTTATTATTACTTTCGTCAGATTCAAGTTATTTCTGTGACTGTTGTGGGTTTTTCTTACAATTTTGTCCACGTGTGTATGTTCAGGGCTATGTGATGACATATGTTGTAAATTGCGCTATACAAATAAAGTTGAATTGAAAATTTAATTCTCCAAGTTTAACTAATTAGCATCAAGTCCCGCTCGAGAGTTTTTCAGGCTCAGAAATACCTACCCCTGACTAAGTACCTTTCTACCACAAAAACACCCTGAAAGAGATCCTATAGAGGCAATTCTTGTCGTTGAAACACATATGAAAAGGTTTGAGCCGCCCTAAAATGGTCTGTGGTCTTCTGCAGTATAAAAAACGCCTACTAAATATTTAATGCCAAGTCTCTTGGAAAAATGTGATTTTGAAATGAAATCAGACTTTTGAAAAGCAGTAATTTAAAATAAAAATCAATTATTTTATCATATTTATTATATAATGGAAAATAACTCCAATAAAGCTAAATAACAAAACAGTATTTATTAACAACCTGGCACATTTATTGAATAATTCACCTATTTCACTAATTGTTGGTTCATTTACAGATTGTACTAGATGTTTTCATGCGATTATTTACAGGATACCGTATGTTTTATTCATACAGGAGCAGCTTACGTTCTCTCCAGCTGTGGTTGGAACCATCTCGGCCAGAGTCCCGACCCCTCCTGATGGGACCCTGCCCCTTCCCATCCTCTGCTCCTTCTCCACCTTGGCCTGCTCCAACCTGTCTGCCTTCCAGACGCTGATGGCTCTGACCTGGAGATGACTCCAGGGACACGTGGCCATTGTGAAAGCCATTGGACTTAACAGGCATCTGTGAGAGGCAGTTGTTCTTTTAAAGTTTCTTCAATGTTTCTCTTTTTGCTTATGTGTATACGAACAACTATGAATGTGTTAATTATTTTCTTTCATTTAGTGAACAGTTGGCTGTACTGTATCACAAGCTGGAGGATGTGAGAGAATCCTACCTTGACGTTGGTTAGTTGCTCTACTGAATCCACAGAGTCACAGAAGATCTCACTCTCTGAGTCACTGGTCAATGTCAAACCCTCAGACACTCCAGAGTCTGCAGTGGCACACAATCAAATATTCAATTCTGTGCTGACTACAAACAGAAACATGTTAGCAAACAAATAATCACCCATTATTGCCTAATAAACAGTATCAGTAGAAGGACTTCTAATTTGTTAAGTTTCATTCTTCATTCTTTTCCAAAAGTGAATATTTTCTGTGTTTCTTTGCTGTCTGATTGAAAACTGAATGTCTGATGGGACAACACAAGACATCTTAAGACATCACCTTGAAATCTGAGGACTTATGTTGGACACTTCAATTTTCTGCCATTTTTAGACAAAATTATCAGTCGCAGAGATAACTAGCAGTAGTTGCTGCCCTAATACCAACAGTCAAAACTGATCAAATCTCATGCTGTACAGAAAACATTTCAGCTGCACTTTTTTCTCCCCTGCACGCATCTGACAGCTTTAGTATTGGGCTCTAAACACTTCCAGAACACAGGTGACCTACAACTCAGCCCTACTGTCCTGAATGTTCTCTGTGTCGACACACAGCAGCACTGGGGCTGTCTGTGCAGACACAGTGTTAGAAGAGATGGGAGGTATCAGTTGTTCTTTACTATTAGGGATGTTGGTGGCAGTGAGGTCAACAACTTCTGACAGGGTGAACTCTCCATCTGGATCTGGGCCCTCTGGGTCTTCTTTATGCCCCTCCTGTTTTTCCTCTACAACCTTGGTCTCAGCATGCTCGCCACCTTCAAGACCTACAGTAACACAAAAAGACTCTTTCATTCATACAGACATAAAATCATCAAGTCACCACAGATCTTGTACTGCATTAATTCATACTTCGCCCACTTGTTGAACACTTTTTAAAAATTCTTTTACAATGGGAGAATTTAGAATCAAATGTCACAGTGGCTGGCTCAGTTGCCATTAAATGACACACAGTGCTTAACAAATGTATTAGATCACCGGCCATAAAAACAAGAAAACAAACATTTTAGAAATCTTTAAAAAAAAACTTGTTTTTTTTTTTTTAATGTTATTGTTCTTAATTTAGCAAATAATAAACTGAAACAACTAAATAGTCCTTTTTCCAAACACAACGAAAAATCTTCATATTTTCTATGGCCTCCTTGATAACAGCATGCTTATTGCTGCCATTGTTTTTATGTACTTTTAGACAGTCTCTGTCTAAAAGTACATGGAACTAATGAGTTCCAGATAGTTTCTAGCTGTTCCTACAGACTTGCTTTAGATTAAACTTTTGTGTGATCAACCTGGGACTTTACTACATCCCAAGTTTATTCAATACGATTCAAATCCAGACTTTGACTGGGCCAGTCCAACAGTTCCAGAACTCCAGATTCCTTTTTCTTGGTCAGATAGTCTCTGCACAGCTTTGCTTGGTCTCATTGTCTCGTTGGTGTATGAATCCATGACCAATCGGATTCAGTCCAGAAGGGATTCCATGATGCACTAAGGTGTTGCGGTAGATGTTCTTGTTCATGATAGTGTCGATTTTCACTAATTTTCTGTTTCCACAAATGGAACCCCAAACTATGATGGAATCTCCACTGTGTTTCACTGTGGGTGCAATGCATCTGCCATCAAAATGTTCTCCACCTTTTCTGAGGACGCAAACACGACGATGCTGACCAAAGAGTTCAAACTTGGACTCGTCCGTCCAGAGGACCTTCTTCCAGTCATCAACAGTCCAGTGTTTGTGCTGCCTGACAAATCTGAGGCATTTTTGGATATTTGCAGGCCTCAATAAAGGCTTTCTAGCAGCTCTTCTTCCCTTTAAGCCTTGTTCCATCAGTCATCTCTTATGAGTCATTCTGGAGACCTTCTCAGACTGATCTAGAGGCATTCATCTCTGCCTGAAGATCAGCAGTGGTCCTCCTTCTGTCTCCAGTACCTAAAATCTTGAGGTGTCTGACTTCTGCTTCAGTTAACTTACATTTCCTGCCTCTTCCTTGGAGAATTTTGTAAGAATCAAATTTCAGTTCTATTTAATTGTATTTGTATAGCACAATTCACAACGTATGTCATCTCACAGCACTTAACATAGTAAGGTATAGACCTTACAAATTTAAACAGAGAACCCAACAATCCAAAGTTGCATTTGGACTTCCTCTGAGCAAGCGGTCTGCAACACTGGGACGAAATCAAAAAGCTCAGAGCCAGGCTCAGGGAAAGAGGCCATCTGCCTCAAACGATTGGGGTGAAAGTGGGGATGATGATGGGGTGGGGATAACAGGGCAGCAGATGGAGAGCAGACAATACAAACACAACAATTAACATTTTGGAGGTTGGTGAGGCCAGCGGCTGCAGATCAGAGATGTCCGCAGAGAGAACAAGCACAGGATCTCTGCAGTCTTGCTATTTGACTCCATATCATACCTGATCACATTGTGAGAACACTTTGTCTTTCCTTGCTTGTCTCAGGGAACATCCAGCATCATGAAGTGCTTTAATGTCACTCACCATGTTAAAACATGGCGTGATTAGATTAGAAAGGGATCAATAAAGTTCTATCTAATCTAATCTCTCCATGTTTTACCATTCTGAACAGGAATGAGGAATTTCAAACTGAATTCACCTTTTTATACCCAAATCTGAGCCACTGGGCTTCTCTGAGAAGACAGAAATGAATTAAGCATCACATTAAAACATTAAATCTATTTTTTCTGTTCAGGAATGCAAGTAAATAACTATATTTGACATCCTAATCAAGAAATAATAATGTGCTTTACTATTTTTTCAGTTTTTTTTTTGTAAAACAGTAAATTTGAAAATTCATAGATACCAATAATAATTATATTTTAGCATTAAAGATAGCATTTTGGTTAAAGAGCTTCTACATACTGGTGTATTAACCATTACAGAAACATAAAAAAGAATATTTAGGTAATTATCAATGTGGTTAATTTAGAGCAGCTGCGGCATAAACCTGACATTGGGTGGTGGTTTAATATATTATTTAAGCTCTGTACACCTTGCTAAAATGTTGTGCTGTTTTGTTCAAAGTGTTTCAGAAAGATGCTGCATGCATGCTTGCTTTTAAAGGCTGCAGTTTCTGCTGCACTTGATTTGTATGGCTGAAATGTGTATTAAATAATTACCGAAGGGGAATAATTCTCCTATACATCTTCGAAATATTTCCTGCCAAAGTTCAACATCACAACTATTAACGGTAGTACCTTGGTGATCAGATAAACCTAAGTTTGCACTTGAGAGTGACCATTTCTTATTTATCGCTGTCACACATTGGGGTTTATTTGAGTCCAGACCCACTGATGGCAGGTCTCTTTAGATTAACATAAACTAAATAATGCAGATTTATGAATGTGTCATTATGGTAAATGCAAGGTAAATGGACTGCACTTATATAACGCTTTTCTACCTTAGCGGCACTCAGTGGGCTCACTCACCTTCTCTGAGTGTGAGCAGTGACTGCGGAGGTCGCGGCATGTCATCAATAACCAGGTAGAGAGGCTCAAAGTGGTAAAGGAGTGAGGCCGTCTTCTCATTCATGGGCATGGAGTCGATGACCTGCAGAAACCGTGGAAAGCTTCACTGATGAGTGATTGCTAATAGTAATACTACGCCTTTTTTATCTGACCAGACAGCACGCTGCTGAGACTCCGTAATTATCTTTTTTGTTGAAGATCTCAATGTGCTTTTAAAAAAATAAAAAAATAAAAAATTTAAAAAACAACACAACTGCACTGGATCCTATAAAAAAAAAATACATAAAAAATACCAAAACCATGACAGTCACATGACAAAAATTCTGTGACTTTCGCCTGAACTACAGGCTGTGTTTATACAGAGCAAATATGAGGCAAGAAACGAACGTATATGTGCATCTCAAATAATTAGAATGGCATGACAAAGATAAAATCCCATATGGGGCTCCATGGGGTTCAGGGGAGGCAGATCAAGCTCAGTAATATGATGGCCAGCAAACCATTTGGTAGTAGTTCTGGCTCTGAGGGCAGGTGCTAAGTCCTGCTGGTAAAGGAAATCAGCATCTCCATAAAGTTTATCAACGACAGCATGAAGTGTTTTAAAATCTCCTCGTAAAAAGGAGATTTGGATAAAAAGAATTTGATAAAACACAGTGGATAATCCCAGCAGATCATCACAGACTGCAGTAAGGAATTTTCTCTTTCCATCTGTGGTTGTGTTGTTTCCATTCAAGTACAGGACTTCATATTGTAGTGAAAATGATTCCACAGTGAGGAAAAATGTGACAGGAGTAAAAAATAAAACAACAACAATAAAATTTTTGACAACAGTAATAAATACATAGAAATATGTATACATTTTGTAAATGACAAAATCATTGACAGATGTTGGAACTAGATGAATGTCTTATCTTACACAAAGCCATTAACTTACACCTACAAACCCAAACCAGTTAGTGCAGCAGCAAAACCACATTCCTATGATGCCATCATGAGGTCAAACTGGAAAAAATGTATCTTGCATGCAGCATTGTGTTAAAAAAAATAAATAAATAAATAAATATATTGCGCTCCTACATGCATCAGTTTGCAAGCAACTCTGTAATATTTTTTTTTGTTTTAGATTAAAACATAAAACAAACAGATCCTCTCATTAATTAGTTTTTGGTTTTGTGTATTTGGTAACACTACCACTAATGAAGATAAATAGTTTGAGGAGCAGCAGGGGAGAATACTGAAATTAAACAAAATGTGTCAGTCAAGATGTAAGCATACACATTCAATTCAATGTACGACTGAAAGAAGTCTAAACGTACCTCCTGTGCTACTTTCTTCATCTCGTCCACATATGCTGCCATGGCCCTCTCACTGCTCATCTCTCCCAGGCGGCTCCATGCGTCCCTTGTACATACACAAGGTCAATAAAGACAACTGCCAAAATCCTTGAACTTCCTTTAGCTAGGTTGAAGGAAATAGGCTTGCTGAACACAAAATGCAATTTGATGGGCAAAGACACTTTGTTATGATCCTTAAGTGTCATTTCATGTTGTCCTGATATCATCTTTTAAATGTTAAAAATAATTATCAGAGTTCTAATGTGATGACTTCAACTGTCCTGTTAAGTTTGAATCAAAGTATTCAGTTTACAACAACATAAAAGGAAGAGAAACAGCATTCCCACACATGACAAGATGGATCAGATGATGGTATCTGTACTTCCATTTAAACACTCCTGAAAAAATTCTACCAAAAAATAATCCACTATGCAACTAATCATTTTAGCACTGCTTTCAATACAAACAGTTTTTTTTTTTAAAACAACATTTAACAAAAGGATGGCAGCAGAGTGCAACATCAGTCACACAGAGCATGCTCCTCAGAGGGCCACATATAAGAGACACACGGGTGGTTTGCTCGAAGCAGCATGTGCTTTACAGACCTGATAACACCTTCTTAACCTGTTAGAAATGAACTGACGTGACATGTTAAAGACTGACGCACCAGTTCAAACCCCACTTTAGTCTGATAGTCCAAGTGTTAGGCTATGTGCCCTGCCAAGACTTGAAGCAACACACTGACCCTCTCTCTAATCACTATCTGTGCAACACAAGCTCAATTGACTTTAGTACAACTATAATTCAATTCATGGTATCTGCATGACCAATGCAGATTTTGAGAGCAGACGTAGACTGCATGCTTTTTCCATGCTACAATAGGTACACCTCAGTCTGCTGCAGATGACTGCACTGTCCCTCATACCAAACAAGGAAAAACACACAGCGCTCCCATGGATGTTTCTCAGAAGACTAGCAATGACTTTGCATCTGTTACAGGACACAGCAGCTTGTTACACAACGGACTGTATCACCATGTGTGACAACTCCTGATGTGTACCAAGCACAGCTGGCTGGCAGCGCAGGATTTCTGGAGAATTCAGGGCTTCCTTTTGTGTTTGCTTTGATGGAAAGCATGTACAAATCAGAGCATCACCAAAGTCTGGCAGCAACTATTTAAACTACACTTCCTTTATTGATGATTGATATAAATGTGAATGACTGCAAAGTTCCAAACAGTCTCCCCTCATAACAAGCATTTGTTTTCAGCACAATTTGTTTCCTGGCACATATGCAGCTGCAGTGCAGGTCTGCATGCAAATGTACACAAATGGGTCTATGTGGACCCTCCCAGAATTAAGTGGATGATAAAATGTAGTTGTGAGCCAGCTTGATAAAGATAAAATAAACATAAATTCACTATATAGTTTAAATACATGAATCTTAAAAACAAATATAAAAACGCATTAAAAAACACATGATTTCTCAATAAAAGTCCAAGACAAATGAATAGCTTGTGTGTTTGATACCAAAACTAAGCCTGATGATGCCTACAATGACTGTCAGTACACAAACACACCATTTGTAGCGGCCCACGGGGTCCCAAAAGCCAGGTCGAGCCACTGTGCAGGGTCCACACACTGCCTGCTTGTACAGACTGTAGAAACGCAGCATCACCTCATAGGAGGGCCGGTAGGAGCCTGAAAGTTAACACTGACAATAATCAGGTTTGCCAATCTAGCTGCTTAATTCTCTATTTGTCTGGATAGAATGAAACCAAAAAGGACAAAATATGTTGAAAACACCATTACAACAAACTTCATTCAGAAAATCTGCAGTTGAGTGAGGCCTTATTATGGGCAGAAATGCATACTGAACAGAAATGTAATTAAATCACAGAGTGGAACTTATGACTGTTATGTGCATGTAGCAACTGCTGCATGTTTAGATGACAAAATATTCCCATGTTAGTACAGACTTGGAAAGGTTTTACAGTTTGCTGGCTAGTACAGTTAACTGCATGAAATCAGCAGGTTTTGCCAGAACAGGAGCCTCAGGGCAGCTGACCTGCTGGTTCAGCTGTGATTCATGCTGAGCTCCCTGAGCACTTTACAGAGAGTGTAGAGGCAAACTTCATTTAAGGAGGATCATATCACTCTACAGAGCTGCACAGTTAAATTAATAAAGATACTTAAAGTAAGTGTTCCAAGTGTCTAACCAGTCAACAACACTCACATGGAGTTTGTAAAGTCAGGTGATGATTAAAACTGACTACATACCATTTTTTGGTAAGTTATGGATGACATCCACAGCAGCCTGAAACCGTTTCTGGTGATCAACCACAGGCTCTGCCATCGCTGGGACTGGCATGACACTTTGATTTGTTTAATCTAGGTGGAGGGACCAGTGCTTCTAGAGATGACACAGCACACAAATACAGAAATAACAGAAAGGTTCATGAGGAAACTGGAATCAAACACTAGCATTACGTGACATGACACATTTTTAATCAATGTAGATTTACAGCAACATTTACTGCATTTACATAATGATGTGTTTTTGTAAAATGTGAAGCCTGCTTCTTCATCTCACCAAACAGACTTAAAGTACTTGTGGTGGTGTTGGCAGCTTCGGTACCTGCACACGCAGCACTAAACAGTAACGACTAAAGACAGCCCCCCAGTTGTTGTCTGTAGCTGACCCCATCTTTTCTCTCTCCTCTCCCCAGTCAGTCTGAGCCTGCTTCTGTTACTGTTGCAGGATGAGTTTTCTCTCCGCTGTCACTCAGTGCTACTCAAGAAGAACTTGTTGGATTTCTTGGGTTTTTCTCTAATACAACGTCGTACAGTCTTGGCCTCATCATGTGAAGAACCCTGAGACGACTTAAGTTGTGAACCGGCACTGTGTGACTTGATGAAGAAAGACATCTTCTTTTATTTTGATGATAATTAAGAAAGTCATTCTCTTTTTTGATGGTCACCAGACCTCCGATTCCACCCCATGTTGCCTTGTGTTTTCCCATCACCTTTTGTCATGTGTTGTCCTACCTCCTGTCACAGAACCCCGATTCCACCCCGTTGTTCACTGTCCCCTTACCTCCTGCCATTTGATTAGCAATGATATGTTAACTAACCACTACTTGCTTCGGTTTACCATCACAGACTCATGCTCTGTGTTGGCAAGTCTGCCGTATACCAGAATACTAATAAACACCCACTGCAGTAAACTTTACATGAGGACTATGGGTAAAATTTCTTGAAGAAATTTGCTGTAGTGGGTGTTTATTAGTATTCCGGTATATGGTGGACACAGAGCATGAGTCTGTGATGGTAAACCGACCCCGGACACCTGCAGTCATACATTTATAGGGTATGTCAGAGGGTAGGGGGGGCCTGTATGTAAATACAGAAGTGAATAGTGGTTAGTTAACATACAGTTGCTAATCAAATGGCAGGAAGTAAGGGGACAATGAACAACAGGGGGTGGAATCGGGGATCTGTGACAGGAGGTAGAACAACACATGACAAAAGGTGATGGGAAAACACATGGCAACAGGGGATGGAATCGGGGGTCTGGTGACCATCAAAAAAGAGAATGACTTTCTTAATCATCATCAAAATAAAAGAAAATGTCTTTCTTCGTCAGACTAAAACTGAACTGAACTGAAAATTGAACTTATCTCTATAAAGTGACAGAAAACAAAAACAAATATATACAACATTACGCATTTCTTAGACCCTCACCCCTCAAAAGTCAAGGTTTAGCAGAGGCACCTTCAGCAGCAGTGATTACTCATCTCTGCTTGAAGCCCTGCTGTGGTTCTGATGTTTGGACCCTGACTCGGACACCTCAGCTTATTGACCTGTAACTGATGATGGCTTCATTACTTTAAGTATCGATCGATCTGGCATTTTCTTTCTCGACTGATCCATTATCAGGGTAGTTGGCGATCAAACTGACAGTTAAGGGCTTATCGTTCATTAACCGAGTGTTACCATCACACGAACCCTTCACACTCCTGATACACTGTCGGTGTGTAAAACCATGTCAGTGGACAAAGCTGGAGACAGGTCCAACTCGGTGCAACGTCTCAACTAGTCCTATTACACTGCTCACTATGTTAATGGTTTCACTCGAAACCAACCGACTAGGTACAAGTGGGTGGACTGTAGTCTGCCTGATATCTATCCTGTATCACCGCGCTGTTTAATTCAAGTTTGGTGTTACAAGACAAACACGAAAGTGCAGTTTAGCTAGCTAGGAACCGCGGGGTAGCTTAGCATTAGTTAGCTTGGAACTTGTCTCACCTCAGTGTATGTCTGTCCTGCCGGTCACCGTAACCAGCGCCATGGAAACAGGCGAGTCAGTCTTTAGCACAGAGACCACATAAACACTCACGGAAGATCCTCCAACCCGTGGTTTCGCTAATTAATAAGTTTTTATGAACGGAAAGTTTTCCTGTGACACCGACCGTGAAGCCACCTGAGACAGACTGACCTGCCGTCTACGGCCACTCCACTTTACACAGACAACTTCCGTGTCAGATCACGTGACAGGCGTCTGACCACATCCCACTTGGACATTTAAAGCGACACTCCACATTATTATTATCCATCCATCTATTGTCTATACACGGCTTAATCCTAACTGGGGTCGCGGGGGGGCTGGAGCCTATTCCAGCTGATTTAGGGCGAAGGCAGGGGACACCCTGGACAGGTCGTCAGTCTATCGCAGGGCTACACTTAGAGACAGACAACCTAGCACACTCACATTCACACCTACGGACAATTTAGCATCACCAATTAACCTCGACATGTATTTGAACTTGTGGGAGGAAGCCGGAGAACCCGGAGAGAACCCACGCTGCACGCAGAGAACATGTAAACACCACGCAGAAAGATCATCACCGGCTCCAACATTATTATTATTATTATTATTATTATTATTATTATTATTATTATTATTATGTAGATACATTCCATTTAAAAAAAAAAAGTCTTTTCAGATATTTTAAGATAATTCATATTTTTCAGGCATTTTGGTCATTTTCATATTATTTAGAGTTTGTTTGTTTGGTTATATTTTTCAGAAATTCCATTATATTATTTCAAATATTTTTGACCAATATTTTATATTTTTTTAAAAATTTAATATTATCATAATATTTATCTGGACATTATCATTATTATTATT